CACAGCGTTACGCAACCGATGAAAAGATATTGCTGCTCGACTGATTCGGAGTGAGACATCTGCTGTTAAACTGGAGCCGGTCATAAGCACACTGCCCAGGTATGGGAAACTCTCCACTCTTTCCACAACTGCCCCATCACCGATTGAGAGTTGTGGGGGTGGAGTATCCGATGGTACAAAATACCCAGGCAGGTGCTTAATTTTGGTGGGGCTGATGGTAAGGCCCCACCTCTTAGTGGCATGTTCCAGTCTCAGCAGCAGCGTCTCCAACTCCTCCTCTGAATGAGCAGCTATTACCAAATCATCAGCATACATGACGTGGTTGAGCAATAGGGAGCCATCCCTTGACCGCACCCGGGCATCGATCAGCCTCCCATTATGGAGATTCCCCCGGTACAGCTATTGAAGGCTTCACGAACTACGTGGTCAAAAAAGATGTTAAATAATGTGGGAGCCAGAGGACATCCCTGTCGGACCCCAAGGTGTACAGGGAATGGCTCTGACTCCCGGCCACATAGTTTTACCCGGGCCCGCTCACAATCATGAAGGTCCTTAATGATTGTGAGCAGAGGGTCAGGGACTCCAAAAGCACGAAGAACAACCCAGAGCCCAGGCCTACTGATGGTATCATAGGCCTTGACCAGGTCAATAAAGCAGAGATGTAGGTCTTGCTGGAATTCCCTACACCTCTGCTGTAGCAGACAGACAGAAAATATGGCATCTGTGCAGGACCGCCCTTTCCTGAAACCGCATTGGTGCTCCGCAAGCCTCTCCTCAGCGTGCCTGGCAAGGCAATGTTGAATAATCCTTCCCAGGACCTTTCCCGGCACACTGAGGAGTGAGATGCCCCTCTAGTTGTTACAGTCTGTGCGGTCCCCCTTCTTAAAGAGGGGGACCACCAGGGCATCCTTCCAATCGAACCTGTCCAGTGGTCCAGACTGTTGTTATGATGTCATATAGGGCAGTCTGTGCACAAACGCCACCCTCCCTCAGCATTTCGCTTGGGAGATCATCTCTGCCCGCTGCCTTTCCTGGTCTCAGACTCCGGATCGCCTTCAGTACTTCCTCAACAGATGGCACTTCAGCCAGCCACTCACAGGGGGTGACTTCCAATATTTGAGGCACGGCAGCCTCAGCAGGGTCATCCTCACTTTGTGCCACGATGTTTTCCTGGCTGAGGGATTTTCTCTCCCCCAGGACCTCACAGAAATGCTCAGCAAATCTGCAAACCTGTTCCTGGGGGTCGGAAGTTGGATCACCGTTTTTTCCCCTAATGATGTTAATAGGTGTGGTGCTTCAGGTTACTTTTTTGATGGAGTTAAATAGAGATTTGTGATCGCGGGCCACTGAGGCAGACTCCATCTCCTCAGCAACCCGCGACCACCACCCATCCTTGCAGCGCCTCACGGCTCTCCGAACCTCCGAGCGAAGGCTGCGGTAAGCCTCCTCATTCTCTGACGTGGGATTCTGTAGCCGATGACAGTGGGCCTGTCGCTTTTTCTCAACCATCCTGAACACCTCCTCTGTCAGCCAGGGTCTCTGGGGATGTCTGGACCGCATACCAAAAGCAGCCATTGAAGCTGCATGAGTCACAGTCCTAAACCTCGCAGTCTGCTGCCCCGAGTAGAGAACTGTCACAGTGGCAGGAGCCAGAACCTGTCCACCGGACCTCCCGAATGCCACAGAGATCCAGGCGGTACCGGTCCAGCTCCCGACAGAGGAGTGGCAGCCTTTCCTCCACAGTGAGCGTTCGAACATTCCACGTGGCCAAACGAAGTGGCTTTTCGTTGTTTCTGGAAGAGCCCCGAGGGTTGAGATTCACACACACATCTACACGCACACACACCTACACCCACACACCTACATACACAGACACCCACACACCTACACACACACCTATACACACCTACACCCACACACCTACATACACACACCTACACACACACTTACACACACCTACACCCACACACCTACATGCACAGACACCCACACAAACCTACACACACACACCTGCACACACACACAGACATACACACACCTACACACACCTACACACACCTACACCCACACACACAGACACCCACACACCTGCACACAACAACAACAACAACCGCCATTCGCCACTAAGTGGCGGTGACGTCACCACGACGCTTGTGCCAGGCTATGTGCACCCTGAGGCCACGTGAAGTGTCGAACGCCCGCTGGCAGGAGGTCACGGGGCAGACCCAGGTGCCACGGGTCGACTGACTGAGATGACTGACTGATGCACCACCTGTGCCCCCTACTGTGCCAACCTGCTGTGCTTTAGCCACCCGGCGCTCCGCTCGCTGTTGTGAGCGTCGCTCCTCCGCCCTCCGTTGTTGTTGGAGGGCGACTGCCTCCAACTGCCCAGTAGCATCCTTCACGAGCCTCCTCCACAGAGGCCGATCTTGACACCGCTGGTACCAGTCATCGGCAAGTCCACTCAGCTCCACATCCTCCTGTACCACATCACTCCATCTCTTCTCTAGCCCGTGCCGCGCCCGCTTAGCCCCCTCAATCCGGCCAAACAAAAGCTGTTTCGGCATGCGGTGGCTGGGCATGCGGGCTACATGACCCAGCCATCGCAGCCTTGCCTGCCGGAGGAGCTCACCGATGGGACCCTGCCCAGATCTTTCAAGGATTTGTGAGCTCCTCACACAATCCAGTCTGGTTAAACCCAGGATGGATCGTAGGCAGGTCAGCCTAAATGTTTCTAACCGGCGAAGATGTTCCATTAGGGGGGTCCACGTTTCGCAAGCGTAGAGAAGGGAGGGAATGACCGTGGCCGAGAAGACCTGAAGCTTAGTGCGGAGCGACAGACCAGGTAGCTTCCACACAGCGTTACGCAACCGATGAAAAGATATTGCCGCTCGACTGATTCGGAGTGAGACCTCTGCTGTTAAACTGGAGCCAGTCATAAGCACACTGCCCAGGTATGGGAAACTCTCCACTCTCTCCACAACTGCCCCATCACCGATTGGGAGTTGTGGGGGTGGAGTGTCCGATGGTACAAAATACCCAGGCAGGTGCTTAGTTTTGGTGGGGCTGATGGTAAGGCCCCACCTCTTAGTGGCACGCTCCAGTCTCAGCAGCAGCGTCTCCAACTCCTCCTCTGACTGAGCAGCTATTACCAAGTCATCAGCATACATAACGTGGTTGAGCAATAGGGAGCCATCCCTTGACCGCACCCGGGCATCGATTAGCCTCCCATTATATCTGTACCATATGGAGATTCCCCCGGTACAGCTATTGAAGGCTTCACGAACTACGTGGTCAAAATAGATGTTAAATAATGTGGGAGCCAGAGGACATCCCTGTCGCACCCCAAGGTGTACAGGGAATGGCTCTGACTCCCGGCCACGTAGTTTTACCCGGGCCCGCTCACCATCATGAAGGTCCTTAATGATCGTGAGCACCTGCACACACACACCTACACATACACACCTACACACACCTACACACACCTGCACACACACACCTACACACACACACCTACACACACACACCTGCACACACACACCTACACATACACACACCTACACACACCTACACACACCTGCACACCCACACACAGACACCCACACACCTGCACACACACACCTACACACACCCACACACACAGACACCCCTGCACACACACCTACACCCACACACCTGCACACACACACCTACACACACACACCTACACACACACACACACCTACACACACCTACACACAAACAGACATCCACACACCTGCACACACACACAGCTTTACACACAAAGACCCCCCGTGTAGCCTTAACAGGCTGTAGGGGCAAGTGCTGTCAGCGAGCAGCTCCTGTGAATGCCGGCACTGTGGCACACGAGGGGGTGGGTGGTAGTGGTGGTACTGGTGGGTGGGTGGGTCGGTGGTAGTGGTGGTAGTGGTGGGTGGGTGGGTGGTAGTGGTGGGTGGTAGTGGTGGTGGGTTGTAGTGGTGGGTTGGTGGTCGTGGTGGTAGTGGGTGAGTGGTAGTCGTAGTGATGGTGGGTGGTAGTGGTGGTAGTGGTGGGTGGTAGTCGTAGTGATGGTGGGTGGTAGTGGTGGTAGTGGTGGGTGGTAGTCGTAGTGATGGTGGGTGGTAGTGGTAGTAGTGGTGGTTGTGGGTGAGTGGTAGTCGTAGTGATGGTGGGTGGTAGTGGTGGTAGTGGTGGGTGGTAGTCGTAGTGATGGTGGGTGGTAGTGGTGGTAGTGGTGGGTGGTAGTCGTAGTGATGGTGGGTGGTAGTGGTGGTAGTGGTGGGTGGTAGTCGTAGTGATGGTGGGTGGTAGTGGTAGTAGTGGTGGTTGTGGGTGAGTGGTAGTCGTAGTGATGGTGGGTGGTAGTGGTGGTAGTGGTGGTAGGGGGTGAGTGGTAGTCGTAGTGATGGTGGGTGGTAGTGGTGGTAGTGGGTGAGTGGTAGTCGTAGTGATGGTGGGTGGTAGTGGGTGAGTGGTAGTCGTAGTGATGGTGGGTGGTAGTGGTGAGTGGTAGTGGTGGTACTGGGTGAGTGGTAGTCGTAGTGGTGGTAGTGGTAGTGATGGTGGGTGGTAGTGGTGGTAGTGGTGGGTGGGTGGTAGTGGTGGGTGGTAGTGGTGCTGGGGGTGGATGGTAGTGGTGGGTGGGTCAGTGGTAATAGTGGGTGGGTGGGTGTGTAGTAGTCGTAGTGATTGTGGGTGATTGTGGTGGTAGTGGTTGGTGGGTGGGTGGTAGTGGTGGATGGGTGCTGGTGGTGGTAGTGGTGGTGGTAGTAGTGGGTGGTAGTGGTGGTAGTGGTAGGTGGTAGTGGTAGTAGTGGGTAGTGGTGGGTGGTAGTGGTGGGTGGTAGTGGTGTGTTGTTGTCACTTTCTGACCACGTGTGCCCCCTCTAACTGGACACCTGTGAAACACACAAAGAGCTTTACGGATTTTCAGATTGTGGTGGTGAATGATTGAGTGGGCGTGGCTTCACGAGCATAACGTTTAAATGATCATCCAGAGGCGAAGCCTGGAGAGGAAGAGGCGGGGCCTGGAAAGGAAGAGGCGGAGCCTGGGGGAGATGGGGCGGGGCCTGGAGAGGAAGAGGCGGAGCCTGGAGGAGAGGAGGCGGGGACTGGTGGAGGGGAGGCGGGGCCTGGAAGGGAGGGGGCGGGGCCTGAAAATGGTAATGACCCCAGTGCAGGTGAGTGGGTGATGTGGTGAGTGGGTGGGTGAGTAGATGGGTGAGTGGGTGGGTGGGTGAGTGGGTGGGTGAGTGGGTGGGTGGGTGGGTGAGTGGGTGGGTGGGTGAGTGGGTAAGTGGGTGGGTGAGTGGGTGGGTGAGTGGGTGGGTGAGTGGGTGGGTGGGTGAGTGGGTGGGTGGGTGAGTAGGTGGGTGGGTGAGTGGGTGGATGAGTGGGGTGGGTGGGTGAGTGGGTAAGTGGGTGGGTGAGTGGGTGGATGGGTGAGTGGGTGAGTGGGTGGGTGAGTGGGTGAGTGAGTGGGTGAGTGGGTGGGTGGGTGGGTGAGTGGGTGGGTGGGTGAGTGGATGGGTGAGTGGATGGGTGAGTGGGTGGGTGAGTGGGTGGGTGAGTGGGTGGGTGAGTGGGTGGGTGAGTGGGTGGGTGAGTGGGTGAGTGGGTAAGTGGGTGGGTGAGTGGGTGGGTGAGTGGGTGGGTGAGTGGGTGGGTGGGTGAGTGGGTGGGTGGGTGAGTAGGTGGGTGGGTGAGTGGGTGGATGAGTGGGGTGGGTGAGTGGGTAAGTGGGTGGGTGAGTGGGTGGATGGGTGAGTGGGTGGGTGGGTGGGTGAGTGGGTGGGTGGGTGAGTGGGTGGGTGAGTGGGTGGGTGGGTGAGTGGGTGGGTGGGTGGGTGAGTGGGTGGGTGGGTGAGTGGGTGGGTGGGTGAGTAGGTGGGTGGGTGAGTGGGTGGATGAGTGGGGTGGGTGGGTGAGTGGGTAAGTGGGTGGGTGAGTGGGTGGATGGGTGAGTGGGTGGGTGGGTGAGTGGGTGGGTGAGTGGGTGGGTGAGTGGGTGAGTGAGTGGGTGAGTGGGTGGGTGGGTGAGTGAGTGAGTGGGTGGGTGAGTGGGTGAGTGTGTGGGTGGGTGGGTGAGTGGGGTGAGTGGGTGGGTGAGTCGGTGGGTGAGTCGGTGGGTGAGTCGGTGGGTGGGTGGGTGAGTGGGTGGGTGGGTGAGTGAGTGGATGGGTGAGTGAGTAAGTGGGTGAGTGGGTGGGTGGGTGAGTGGGTGGGTGGTGAGTGGGTGGGTGAGTGGGTGGGTGGGTGAGTGGTTGAGTGGATGGGTAGGTGGGTGGGTGGGTGGGTGAGTGGGTGGGTGAGTGGGTGGGTGAGTGGGTGGGTGGGTGAGTGGATGGGTAAGTGGGTGGGTGGGTGAGTGGATGGGTGGGTGAGTGGGTGGGTGGGTGGGTGAGTGGGTGGGTGGGTGAGTGGGTGGGTGGGTGAGTGGGTGGGTGAGTGGGTGGGTGGGTGAGTGGGTGGGTGAGTGGGTGGGTGAGTGGGTGGGTAGGTGGGTGGGTGGGCGTTGACGATTTTGACTCTCGTTTCAAACAGAACCATCAGCGGGGACATTGAAGGCCGATGGTGGTGATGGTGATGGCGGTGATGGTGGTGGTGATGGTGATGGCGGTGATGGTGGTGGTGACGGTGGTGGTGATGGTGGTGATGGCGGTGATGGTGGTGATGGTGGTGATGGCGGTGATGGCGGTGATGGTGATGCTGGTGGTGATGGTGGTGATGGTGGTGATGGTGTCAAGGTTGGCGCGATGGAAGCACCAAACCGAGGAGACGCTGGAAGTAAGAGCGGTAGGCGTGGCTGATGCAGAACTTCACGATGGCCGTGTGGAAGACACCCACTCACCCACTCACCCACCCACTCACCCACCCACTCACTCACCCCTTCACCCACCCACCCACCCACTCACCCACCCACCCACTCACCCATCCACCCACTCACCCCTTCACCCACCCACCCACCCACTCACTCACCCACTCACCCACTCACTCACCCACTCACTCACCCACCCACCCACTCACCAACTCACTCACCCCTTCACCCACCCACTCACTCACCCACTCACCCACTCACTCACCCACCCACTCACTCACCCACCCACCCACTCACACACCCACCCACTCACACACCCACCCACTCACACACCCACCCACCCACTCACCCACCCACTCACACACCCACCCACTCACACACCCACCCACCCACCCACTCACTCACCCACCCACTCACCCACTCACTCACCTACTCATACACCCACCCACTCACCCACCCACCCACTCACACACCCACTCACTCACTCACCCACCCACTCACCCACCCACTCACCCACCCACCCACCCACTCACCCACCCACTCACACACCCACCCACTCACCCACCCACCCACTCACCCACTCACTCACTCACTCACCCACTCACCCACCCTCCTACCCACCCACCCCCGCACTCACCCCCGCACTCACCCCCCCACTCACCCCCCCACTCACCCCCCCCACCAGGTGTGTGTGCGGTGATCCCACCGGACCAGCAGCTGTACACGGAGAGCTTCTGTGGGGTTTGCCAGTCGCAGCTGCAGCCGCAGCTCAGCCAAGAACACTACCTGGTCAGCCACCATCATTAATCACTCATCTCTGGTGGTGGTGGTGGTGTGGTGGTGATGGTGGTGATGATGTGGTGATGGTGGTGATGGTGGTGGTGATGGTGGTGGTGGTGATGGTGGTGATGGTGGTGGTGATGGTGGTGTGGTGGTGGTGGTGGTGTGGTGGTGATGGTGATGGTGGTGATGGTGGTGGTGGTGTTGGTGGTGTGGTGGTGGTGGTGGTGATGGTGGTGGTGATGATGGTGGTGATGGTGGTGGTGGTGATGGTGGTGGTGATGGTGGTGATGGTGGTGGTGGTGGTGATGGTGGTGGTGATGGTGGTGGTGGTGGTGATGGTGGTGGTGATGGTGGTGATGGTGGTGGTGGTGATGGTGGTGGTGATGGTGATGGTGGTGGTGATGGTGGTGGTGGTAGTGGTGATGGTGATGGTGGTGATGGTGGTGGTGGTGTTGGTGGTGTGGTGGTGGTGGTGGTGATGGTGGTGGTGATGGTGGTGATGATGGTGGTGGTGGTGATGGTGGTGGTGGTGGTGTTGGTGGTGTGGTGGTGGTGGTGATGGTGATGGTGGTGGTGATGGTGGTGATGATGGTGGTGGTGGTGATGGTGGTGGTGGTGATGGTGGTGATGGTGGTGGTGATGATGGTGATGGTGGTGATGGTGGTGATGTGGTGATGGTGGTGATGTGGTGATGGTGGTGGTGATGTGGTGATGGTGGTGGTGGTGATGTTGGTGATGTTGGTGATGGTGGTGATGTGGTGATGGTGGTGATGTGGTGATGGTGGTGGTGGTGATGTTGGTGATGTTGGTGATGGTGGGGATGGTGGCGATGATGGTGATGTGGTGGTGGTGGTGGTGGTGGTGATGATGGTGATGATGATGTTGATGGTGGTGATGTTGGTGATGTTGGTGATGGTGGTGGTGGTGATGGTGGTGATGGTGGTGGTGATGATGATGATGTTGGTGGTGATGGTGGTGATGATGATGATGATGGTGGTGATGGTGGTGGTGATGGTGGTGGTGGTGATGATGATGGTGGTGGTGGTGGTGATGGTGGTGATGGTGATGATGGTGGTGGTGGTGGTGGTGATGATGATGGTGATGGTGGTGTTGATGGTGGTGTTGATGGTGGTGGTGATGGTGGTGGTGATGGTGGTGATGTTGGTGATGTGGTGGTGGTGGTGGTGGTGGTGGTGATGATGGTGGTGATGGTGGTGGTGGTGATGGTGGTGGTGATGGTGGTGGTGGTGATGGTGGTGATGGTGGTGGTGATGGTGATGATGGTGATGGTGGTGATGGTGATGGTGGTGATGTTGTGGTGATGATGGTGGTGATGGTGGTAATGGTGGTGGTGATGGTGGTGATGGTGATGATGGTGGTGATGGTGGTGATGATGGTGGTGGTGGTGGTGGTGATGGTGATGGTGGTGATGGTGGTGATGGTGGTGATGGTGGTGGTGGTGGTGATGATGTTGGTGGTGATGGTGGTGGTGATGGTGGTGGTGATGGTGATGGTGGTGGTGATGGTGGTGGTGGTGGTGATGGTTAATGATGGTGGTGATGGTGATGGTGGTGGTGATGATGATGGTGATGGTGGTGGTGATGTTGGTGATGTGGTGATGGTGATGGTGGTGATGGTGGTGATGGTGGTGGTGGTGGTGGTGATGATGGTGATGGTGGTGCTATTCGATGGCACCACCTTTGTATCTCCAGAGCAAGAAGCACGCACAGAAGGTGAGGAACTACATCTTCAACCAGGGGCTCGGGATCTCCACTCACACCAAGGGCAAGGTGAGAGCCTCACCCACTCACCCACTCACTCACCCACTCACCCACTCACCCACTCACTCACTCACCCACTCACTCACTCACTAACTCACCCACTCACTCACACACTCACTCACCCACTCACTCACTCACCCACCCACCCACTCACTCACTCACCCACCCACTCACCCACCCACTCACTCACCCACCCGCTCACTCACTCACTCACCCGCTCACCCACTCACTCACTCACTCACCCACCCACTCACTCACTCACTCACCCACCCACTCACTCACTCACTCACCCGCTCACCCACTCACTCACTCACTCACCCACTCACTCACTCACCCACCCACTCACCCACTCACTCACTCACTCACCCACTCACTCACTCACTCACCCACTCACCCACTCACTCACTCACCCACTCACCCACTCACCCACTCACTCACCCACTCACCCACTCATTCACTCACTCACTCACTCACCCACTCACCCACCCACTCACTCACTCACCCACTCACTCACTCACTCATTCACTCACTCACTCACCCACTCACTCACCCACTCACTCACCCACCCACCCACCCACTCACTCACTCACCCACTCACTCACTCACTCCCTCACCCACTCACTCACTCACTCGCTCACCCGCTCACCCACCCACTCACTTACTCACCCACTCACTCGCTCACCCGCTCACCCACTCGCTCACTCACTCACTCACTCGCTCACTCACTCACTCGCTCACTCGCTCACCCACTCACCCGCTTACCCGCTCACTCACCCACTCACTCGCTCACCCGCTCACTCACTCACCCGCTCACTCGCTCACCCGCTCACTCACTCACTCACCCACTCGCTCACCCGCTCGCCCACTCACCCGCTCACTCACCCACTCACTCGGTCACCCGCTCACTCACTCACTCGCTCACCCGCTCGCCCACTCACCCGCTTACCCGCTCACGCGCTTACCCACTCACTCACTCGCTCACCCGCTCACTCACTCGCTCACTCGCTCACCCGCTCGCCCACTCACCCGCTTAACCGCTCACTCGCTTACCCACTCACTCGCTCACTCGCTTACCCACTCACTCACTCACCCGCTCACTCACTCACCTGCTCACTCACTCACCTGCTCACTCACTCACTCACTCGCTCACCCGCTCACTCACTCACTCGCTCACCCGCTCACTCACTCACTCACCCACTCACTCACCCACTCGCTCACCCGCTCACTCACTCACTCACTCTCTCACTCACCCACTCGCTCACTCGCTTACCCACTCACTAACTCGCTCACCCGCTCACTCACTCACTGGTACTTGCAAAGGAGGTGTAATAATTAATAATAAAGGTTTTTGGGTTAGATCGCGTTATTTATAAATGTGTCGTAACCCTCCACCACCCGACACGGCCAATCAGCAAAAAAAGTGTCACGTTGACAAAAGACAAAAATAATTCACTACTTTAGCCCACCGGTGTGTTGAAGAGTGAATCCACATTTACAGTTTGAGTTGTACTGTGACGTTTCGCTGGTAAATACATCCAGCATCATCGGGCAATTCGCCAGAATGGTAAAGCCCTCGCCGCTTGCTCCCGGTTTTTATATAGAGCAGCAGGGTGACGTCATCACTTAACTCATCAGGTGCAGTGATTAGAGGCGGAGGGGGGCGGGGTATTGTAATTATATAATCGATTAGTAATCAGTCATTGGTTATGATTAGTAATGAGTTGTAGATTAGTAATTCTTTAAATCAAAATGTAATGTGTATTATTTAATAATACGCTTCCAGGCCGCACTAAGCCTGTAGCTGTCAGAGCGATTAAAGTTATTCTTGTTCCTCTCAATTTCAATGGATTCTCTAATTAGTCTTTGCCAGTAATAATTAGTTTTACACAACACTGCAACATTGCCAAAATCAATTGAGTGTCCTTGTTGACAAGCATGTTCTGCCACTGCCGACAGTTGTGTTTGAGATAATTTAATATTTCTCTGATGTTCTTTTAGTCTTACGCTGATGTCACGTCCCGTCTGCCCAATGTAGCAGCTGCCACATGAACAATTAATCCGATATACACCTTCTGTTGATAAATTAGGTAATGCGTCTTTAGTGCAAGATACTAGTTTTTGAATTTTGTGTACTGTACCAAATCTTACTGTAATGTCTTGCTTTTGCAAAACACGGGCTAATTTGTCAGTTACTCCTGAGATATATGGAATTTTTATTGTTTTAACAATCTGGTCGCTTTCAGCAGTATTGCTTTTGCGATCGTGATTTGGCATTCAGTGCTCTGTTAATGTGAGCATTATTGTAGCCATTCTGTCGTAGTGCGTCTTTAACGTGTTTAATCTCTCTCACTAGACTCTCACCATCTGACACTGTTTTAGCCCGATGTATGAGCGTCTTGATAAGAGAGGATTTCTGAGCTGGATGATGATGTGATTCTGCATTCAGATAGGCATCAGTGTGCGTTTGCTTTCTGTAAACGCTGTGTGTTATTTTACCGTTTAAGCCATGTCCAAGCAAAATATCTAGGAATGGGAGTGTGTTATTCACCTCCATTTCCATGGTGAACTGGATGGCCGGGTTTTGTGCATTGAGATGATTTGGAAAATCATTAAGTGTATCTTTACCATGTGGCCAGACAACCAAAGTGTCATCCACATATCTAAACCAAAAGGATGGTTTTAATGTGCTTGAGGCAAGTGCTCTCATTTCAAAGTTTTCCACGTACAGATTTGCTATAGCAGGGGATAAAAGGAGAGCCCATTGCCGCTCCTTCCTTTTGTTTAAAGAAATCCCCTCTCCATAAGAAGTAAGTGTTATTTAAACAATGGCCAGCAAGTTTCGGAATACCTTTTGGTAAACCGGTATTCTTTACTAGTGTAGTGAAGAATACTTTCGATGGAGGAATCCCCCGATAGCGGAGGTGTACAGCGTGAGGGTCGCGCGCCGGGTGCGCGGGGGGAGGTAGCCGTATCCTCGAGGCCAGGGGCGGGCGAATGTTTTTGGCCCGTGGGCCGCAGTGGGTCCTCAAATTTGACAGGGAGGGTTGCCGGTGCCAGGGAAGCAGGTTTGGGGGCGGGGAGCGTTTTTGCGCGAACCAAACATAGATGGCGCGTTGAAAAGATCGTCACGCCTGTGGATTTGGCCCTCGGCAGGGAGCAAAGCGGTTTCCCTGCAAAGGCAATTTGACAAAAAAATTAATCGCACGGGCGCGCGAGAGCGAGTGCAGAAAACGCGTCGCGACTCCCGGTCAAAGTGTGCCATCTAATGGGGGTAAACGGGGGGCGTCACAGGACGAAGGTAAAAAATTTTAATTTAATTTAATAATAATAATCTTATATTCTTAGTTTTTTCGGTAAAGTCACGTTGAAGAGAAACAACAAAATAACAAAATATATATAAAACAATAAAAAATTCTCACGACGTTTCGACCATAACTCAAACGGTCATCATCAGGTGATGACCGTTTGAGTTATGGTCGAAACGTCGTGAGAATTTTTTATTGTTTTATATATATTTTGTTATTTTGTTGTTTCTCTTCAACGTGACTTTACCGAAAAAACTAAGAATATGAATTACTGCAGTCACGAAAGCTTTAAATCAAAATAATAATCTTCTTGATTTAAAGCTTTCGTGACTGCAGTAATTCATATTCTTAGTTTTTTCGGTAAAGTCACCACGTTGAAGGGAAACAACAAAATAATAAAATATATATAAAACAATAAAAAAATTCTCACGACGTTTCGACCATAACTCAAACGGTCATCTTCAGGTGTGTTGGTTTGCATAAATTTATTTTTAAACGGCGCATTTATTTATTTATAAAAAAAAACGTTAGCGCCACGTGCAGCGATTTGGCAGTTTATTTAGGACTAGTCCATCTATATTTTGAAAAGAATATGAATTACTGCAGTCACGAAAGCTTTAAATAAAAAAATAATCTTCTTCTTCGGTTCTTTCGGATAAAGTCACGTGGAATGAGAATGAAGTGATACAATAAAATAGCACGGTAAAATTCTCACGACGTTTCGGCCACGACACAAGTGACCTTCGTCAGGTGAAGGGTTCTGGACTGTCCTTTAAGCTCATTCTACGTGGGTGGTGGTGGTGGTGGTGGTGATGATGGTGGTGGTGGTGGTGGTGATGATGATGGTGGTGGTGGTGACTTTACCGAAAGAACCAAAGACGATGAATCCTTGCAGACACGAAAGCTTTAAATCGAAATAATAATACTAATAATAATCGTAATCATAATAATGTTTGGACAGGTTTGGCGGGCCGGATTGAAAAGCTCCCAACGGGGGAGAGCCGCACTTTGCCCACGTCCGCTCGAGGCCGGTTACCTCTCCGTGTCGGGTGGGGGGGTGGGTGGAGGGGAGAGGGGAGAGGGGAGGGGAGGACGTTCTCTGTCGTTGGAATCGAATGAACGGTGTTGCCCCCTCTGCTAAGTCCCCGTCCGCCCACTCTGTCCTGCACCGGGCGCCCCCACGAATCCGCGGCAGGCGTTTCGTGCTCGTTCCGAGCACGGCAGGACGCTTTGCGTTTTCTCTCGTGCAAATCTTTTTGTCCCCCACCACCACCCACCCACCCACCCACCGCGTGGAATGGAAGTGAAATAATGGACGAAGAATGAAACGTAAGGAAATCAAATTCTCACGACGTTTCGGGCCACGACACGAGTAGCCTTCCTCGGGCGGAGGGACGGAACTGGGTGGGATGGAGCGGGTGAGCCTTGACAAAGTCAGAGTTTTACACATCAGCAGAAGGATAATTTGGCATTGAAGTAGCCGTGTTAATGTGTTGGATTAGCAGGGTGTTATAGTCAGAAATTAGCATGTAACTGGGAGATTAGCACGATGTTACTGTGAGGGATTTAGCATGTGACTGGTCACGGAAGTGGCTATGTTAATGTCAGAGTTTTACACATCAGCAGAAGGAGAATTTGGCATTGAAGTAGCCGTGTTAACGCGATAGTTTGGCAGGGTGATGAAGTCAGAAATTGGCGTGTAACTGGGAGATTAGCACGTGTTGTATATGTGGGTGTTATGAAAATGGATGAAAATAAAAATAAATGAAATTTGAAATCTGCATAATTTATCCGATATTATGTTCATTTGGGTACTTATGTATATAATTATGCTAATTTGAGAGGTAATCGTATTACATATCAACAGAAGAATTTAGCATTGAAGTAGCCGTGTTAATGTGTTGGATTAGCAGGGTGTTAAAGTCAGAAATTAGCATGTAACTGGGAGATTAGCACGATGTTAGTGTGAGGGATTTAGCATGTAACTGGTCACGGAAGTGGCTATGTTAAAGTCAGAGTTTACATATCAACAGAGGAGTTTAGCATTGAAGTAGCCGTGTTAATGTGAGAGATTAACAGGGTGTTAAATTCAGAAATTGGCATGTAACTGGGAGATTAGCATGTGTTGTATATGTGGGTATTATGAAAATGGATGAAAATAAAAATAAATGAAATTTAAAATCTGCATAATTTATCCGAAAATTATGTTAATTTGGGTAATTATGCGTATAATTATGCTAATTCGAGAGGTAATCGTATTACCTATCAACAGAAGAATTTAGCATTGACGTAGCCGTGTTAATGTGATAGATTAGCAGGGTGTTAAAGTCAGAAATTAGCATGTAACTGGGAGATTAGCACGATGTTAGTGTGAGGGATTGGCATGTAACTGGTCACGGAAGTGGCTATGTTAAAGTCAGAGTTTACATATCAACAGAGGAGTTTAGCATTGAAGTAGCCGTGTTAATGTGATAGATTAGCAGGGTGTTAAAGTCAGAAATTAGCATGTAACTGGGAGATTAGCATGTGTGGTATATGTGGGTGTTATGAAAATAAAAACGAAATTAAATGAAATTCGAAATCTGCATAATTTTCCCGAAATTATGTTAATTTGGGTAATTATGCGTATAATTATGCTAATTTGAGAGGTAATCGTATAACCTATCAACAGAAGAATTTAGCATTGAAGTAGCCGTGTTAATGTGAGAGATTAGCAGGGTGTTAAAGTCAGAAATTAGCATGTAACTGGGAGATTAGCAGGATGTTAGTGTGAGGGATTTAGCATGTAACTGGTCACAGAAGTAGCTATGTTAAAGTCAGAGTTTACATATCAACAGGAGAATTTAGCATTGAAGTAGCCGTGTTAATGTGATAGATTAGCAGGGTGTTAAAGTCAGAAATTGGCATGTAACTGGAAGATTAGCATGATGTTAGTGTGAGGGATTTAGCATGTAACTGGTCACAGAAGTAGCTATGTTAAAGTCAGAGTTTACATATCAACAGGAGAATTTAGCATTGAAGTAGCCGTGTTAATGTGATAGGTTAGCAGGATGTTAAAGTGAGGATTTAGCATGTAACTGGGAGATTAGCATGATGTTAGTGTGAGGGATTTAGCATGTAACTGGTCACGGAAGTTGCTATGTTAAAGTCAGAGTTTACATATCAACAGGAGAATTTAGCATTGAAGTAGTCGTGTTAATGTGATAGATTAGCAGGGTATTAAAGTCAGAAATGAGCATGTAACTGGGAGATTAGCATGTGTTGTATATGTGGGTGTTATGAAAATTGATGAATATAATGAAAATTATATGAAATTTGAAATCTGCATAATTTATCCGAAATTATGTTAATTTGGGTAATTATGCATGTAATTATGCTAATTCGAGAGGTAATCGTATTACCTATCAACAGAAGAATTTGGCATTGAAGTAGCCGTCTTAATGTGATAGATTAGCAGGGTGTTAAAGTCAAATTGGCATGTAACTGGGAGATTAGCACGATGTTAGTGTGAGGGATTGGCATGTAACTGGTCACGGAAGTGGTTATGTTAAAGTCAGTTTACATATCAACAGGAGAATTTAGCAGTGAAGTAGCCGTGTTAATGTGTTAGATTAGCAGGTTGTTAAAGTCAGAAATTAGCATGTAACTGGGAGATTAGCATTATGTTAGTGTGAGGGATTTAGCATGTAACTGGTCACGGAAGTGGCTATGTTAAAGTCAGAGTTTACATATCAACAGGAGAATTTAGCATTGAAGTAGCCGTGTTAATGTGATAGATTAGCAGGGTGTTAAAGTCAGAAATTAGCATGTACATGGGAGATTAGCATGTGTGGTATATGTGGGTGTTATGAAAATAAAAACGAAATTAAATGAAATTCGAAATCTGCATAATTTATCCGAAATTATGTTAATTTTGGTAATTATGTGTATAATTATGCTAATTCATGGGGCAATCGTGTTACACATTAACAGGAGACTTTAGCATTGAAGTAGCCGTGTTAATGTGATAGATTAGCAGGGTGTTATATATGTGGGTGTTATGAAAATGGATGAAAATTTTTTTTAATGAAATTTCAAATCTGCATAATTTATCCGAAATTATGTTAATTCGGGTAATTATGCATATAATTATGCTAATTCGGGGAGGGGGGAAATCGTGTTACACATCAACAGGAGAATTTAGCATTGAAGTAGCCACCTCTGCCTCTCCGTCGACCTCCGCCACGGCGCCCTGCCCCTCTCACCCAGCTTGAACGACGCTGCCGTGGAATAGAACCAAGGAGTTTGGATCCTTGCAGTCACGAAAGCTTCAAATCTCGAGCTGCCAAGCTTGGCGCGGTATTCCGGGAGGCAGCAAAAAGCGCCGCCCTGCCGGACAGTTCTGTTCCTTCCCCCGAGGGAGGCTTGCTTGTGCTGCGGCCCGAAACGTCGTGACAATTTCACCCGACGGCGTTTCGTATTTTAAATCGCGTCATTGACACGATAAAATCCTCACGACGTTTCGGCCACAACGCAAGCGATCCGTCTTCAGGTGAAAGGTACAGAACCTGTCGGGATGAACGGAGCTTCAATGGACGATGTTAAGATTCGTAGCGACTTTTAAGCTGGTTGGGAGAAGTGAGGCACCTTGACAAAGGGGGTTTACATATCAAATAGCTGAGGGATTAGCTTGTGACTGGTCACAGGAATGGCTATGTTAAAGTCAAAACCTACACATCCACAGAGGCAACTAGTAATTTTGCATTGAAATAGCTAAGGGATTAGCTTGTGACTGGTCACAGAAATAGATGTTAAAGTAAAGGCCTACACATCCACGTGAGGCACCTTGACAAAGGGGTTTACATATCAAATAGCTAAGGGATTAGCTTGTGACTGGTCACAGGAATGGCTATGGTAAAGTCAAAACCTACACATCCACAGAGGCAACTAGTAATTTAGCATTGAAATAGCTAAGGGATTAGCTTGTGACTGGTCAAAGGAATGGCGTGACCAGTCACAAGCTAATCCCTTAGCTATTTGATATGTAAACCCCCTTTGTCAAGGTGCCTCACGTTGATATGTAGGCCTTTACTTTAACATATATTTCTGTGACCAGTCACAAGCTAATCCCTTAGCTATTTCAATGCTAAATTACTAGTTGCCTCTGTGGATGTGTAGGTTTTGGACTTCAACATAGCCATTTCCGCGACCAGTCACAAGCTAATCCCTCAGCTATTTGCACAAGCTAATCCCTTAGCTATGTCAATGCTAAATTACTAGTTGCCTCTGTGGATGTGTAGGTTTTGACTTTATAACATAGCCATTTCCCGTGACCAGTCACAAGCTAATCCCTCAGCTATTTGATATGTAAACCCCCTTTGTCAAGGTGCCTCACTTCTCCCAAACCAGCTTAAAAGTCGCTATGAATCTTAACAGCGTTCATTGAAGCTCCGTTCGTCCCGACAGGTTCTGTACCTTTCACCTGAAGACGGCCACTTGCGTTGTGGCCGAAACGTCGTGAGGATTTTATCGTGTTATTTTATTCTTTTATAATTTTATTCTTTTATTCCACGTGGTGGTGGTGACCTTACCGAAAGAACCAAAGAAGACGAATCCTTGCAGTCACCAAAGCTTTCAAATCGAAATCGAAAACGTTTCGTCCGCCGGAGGACGAAACGCCTGACCGTTTCGCAAAAACCTCGCTCCTGCCACAACCACCACCCCCCCCCACCCTCCCCCCCCCCACCGCTCCGCAACGCAGCGCCAGAGGGAGCAGCTGCTCGCTCCACCCGCCGGGCAGCAGCAGCAGCAGGAGCAGCAGGAGCAGGGGCAGGAGCAGCAGCAGCAGCAGGGGCAGCAGCAGCAGCAGGAGGAGGAGGAGCAGGAGCGGCAGCGGCGGGCGAACCTTTACTGCTCGCTGTGCAACGTCACGTTCACGTCGCCTGCCAACGCCAGGAGCCACTACGCGGGCCGACCGCACGCCAAGAAGCAGCAGAAGCGCGACCTCATGGTGGCTCAGCAGGAGGCTCAGCAGGAGGCTGAGCAGGCGGCTCAGCAGGTGGCTGAGCAGGCGGCTGAGCAGGCGGTGGAAGTCGGCGGAGAGGCGGAGTCGGGTGAGCGGCGCAGAGCAGCGGTCGGTGTCGTTACACGTGGGTGGGTGGGTGTGAGTGTGGGTGGGTGGGTGTGGGTGGGTGAGTGTGGGTGTGTGTGGGTGGGTGTGAGTGTGTGGGTGTGGGTGGGTGTGTGTGTGTGTGGGTGTGTGTGTGTGGGTGGGTGTGAGTGTGGGTGGGTGTGTGTGTGGGTGGGTGTGTGTGTGTGGGTGTGAGTAGGTGGGTGGGTGAGTGTGGGTGTGGTGTGTGTGGGTGGGTGAGTGTGGGTGTAGTGTGTGTGGGTGGGTGTGTATGGGTGTGGGTGTGTGTGGGTGGGTGTGAGTGTGAGTGTGGGTGGGTGTGAGTGTGGGTGGGTGTGAGTGTGGGTGGGTGTGTGTGTGTGGGTTCGGCAAAACAACCCCCTACCTCCTCGCGGTGCTGGACGGGCAACTCTGTCGTGGACAGTGCTGTGGGGGGAGATCCAATTTTGATTGGCTCCTCCCCTCATGGCATATGTGTCCACCACAGGGGCTAAACGGGGGCTCTGGACGGGTGCGAGGGGCTGGTAACCCCTCCATCTTCAATTAATTACCACGAAACCACGAGTTAAACTGAAATATGTAACTAATAAGATTGTGCCGGAGGCCCCGGGGGGCCAAGCGTCTATGACGTCTCCTGGCCAAACCCCAATTGGCGGAGCCAGGAGATTGAATACCTACCCGCGGGGCTACTCCAGAAACAACGAAAAGCCACTACAGGTGACCACGTGGAATGTTCGAACGCTCACTGCGGAGGAGAGGCTGCCACTCCTCTGTCGGGAGCTGGACCGGTACCGCCTGGATCTATGCGGCATTCCAGGAGGTCCGGTGGACCGGCTCTGGCTCCTGCCACCATGAGGGGTGGACAGTCCTCTACTCGGGGCAGCAGACTGCCAAACAACAGGGTGTGGCTCTTCTTTTGAACAAAAGAATGAAGGGGGGCGTGGGAGCGTGGCGGTGAGGTGTGGGAAGCTGTAAGCCCCAGGCTACTTTGGGCTCGCCTTCCCATCAACCGGAGGCGAGGAATGGTGGTCGTGGTTACTTATGCCCCCACCGAAGATGAACATCCGTGGAGGGATGCAGGCAAAGCCGATGAGTCAGATGCCTTCTATGACCTCCTGTCACAGGTGCTGGCTAAAGTGGCCCCTCGGGATAGAGTCATCATGTTGGGTGACTTCAATGCCCGAGTTGGTCATGATACTGGCACCTGGTCTGGAGTGATTGGAGGGCATGGGCCAGATCAGCTCAATAACAACGGTAGGAGGCTGCTAGATTTTTGTGCAGCCCATGGGCTTGTAATTACCAACACGCTGTTCCGGCATCGGCGCATCCACACAACATCATGGATGCATGCCGGGTCCAAGCAAGAACATCTGCTGGACTACATAGTGACGGACCAGCGGATGCGAGCCCATGTCCTTGACACCAGGACCTACCGTGGAGCTGATCTGCCCTCTGACCATCGACTAGTCATCTGTAAGATGCGCCTGCCATTCTTCCACTCCGGTGGTGGGTGTACACCCAGGACCCCGTTCCGACCTAAAGTGGCCTGGTCTAAGTTATCTGATGAAAGTTGCAAGCGAGAATTTCATCATCGCTTGCGGCTGGGATTGGCATCGTCCCCGACTCCTCCTGATGTCGAGGGTAAATGGGCGAGGTTTAGGACTGTGACTCATGCAGCTGCAATGGCTGCTTTAGGTACGCGGTCCAGACCTCCGCAGAGACCCTGGCTGACAGAGGAGGTGTTCAGGATGGTTGAGAAAAAGCGACAGGCCCACTGTCATCGGCTACAGAATCCCACGTCAGAGAATGAGGAGGCTTACCGCAGCCTTCGCTCGGAGGTTCGGAGAGCCGTGAGGCGCTGCAAGGATGGGTGGTGGTCGCGGGTTGCTGAGGAGATGGAGTCTGCCTCAGTGGCCCATGATCACAAATCTCTATTTTACTCCATCAAAAAAGTAACCTGCAGCGCCACACCTATTACCATCAGGGGAAAAAAACGGTGATCCAATCTCCGACCCCCAGGAACAGGTTTGCAGATTTGCTGAGCATTTCTGTGAGGTCCTGGGGGAGGGAAAATCCCTCAGCCAGGAAAACATCGTGGCACATAAGTGAGGATGACCCTGCTGAGGCTGCGGTGCCTCAAATATTGGAAGAAGTCACCCCCTGTGAGTGGCTGGCTGAGGTGCCATCTGTTGAGGAAGTACTGAAGGCGATCCGGAGTCTGAGACCAGGAAAGGCAGCGGGCAGAGATGATCTCCCAAGCGAAATGCTGAGGGAGGGTGGCGTTTGTGCACAGACTGCCCTATATGACATCATAACAACAGTCTGGACCACTGGACGGGTTCCGCAGGATTGGAAGGATGCCCTGGTGGTCCCCCTTTTTAAGAAGGGGGACCGCACAGACTGTAACAACTACAGGGGCATCTCACTCCTCAGTGTGCCGGGAAAGGTCCTGGCAAGGATTATTCAGCATCGCCTTGCCAGGCACGCTGAGGAGAGGCTTGCGGAGCCCCAATGCGGTTTCAGGAAAGGGCGGTCCTGCACAGATGCCATATTTTCTGTCCGTCTGCTACAGCAGAGGTGTAGGGAATTCCAACAAGACCTACATCTCTGCTTTATTGACCTGATCAAGGCCTATGATACCATCAGTAGGCCTGGGCTCTGGGTTGTTCTTTGTTCTTTTGGAGTACCTGACCCTCTGCTCACGATCATTAAGGACCTTCAGGATGGTGAGCGGGCCCGGGTAAAACTACGTGGCCGGGAGTCAGAGCCATTTCCTGTTAACCTTGGGGTGCTACAGGGATGTCCTCTGGCTCCCACATTATTTAACATCTATTTTGACCACGTCGTTCGTGAAGCCTTCAATAGCTGTACCGGGGGAATCTCCATATGGTACAGATATAATGGGAGGCTAATCGATGCCCGGGTGCGGTCAAGGGATGGCTCCCTATTGCTCAATTACGTTATGTATGCTGATGATTTGGTAATAGCTGTTCAGTCAGAGGAGGAGTTGGAGACGCTGCTGCTGAGACTGGAGCGTGCCACTAAGAGGTGGGGCCTTACCATCAGCCCCACCCAAACTAAGCACCTGCCTGGGTATTTTGCACCATCGGACACTCCACCCCCACAACTCCCAATCGGTGATGGGGCAGTTTTGGAGAGAGTGGAGAGTTTCCCATACCTGGGCAGTGTGCTTATGACTGGCTCCAGTTTAACAGCAGAGGTCTCACTCCGAATCAGTCGAGCGGCAATATCTTTGCATCGGTTGCGTAACGCTGTGTGGAAGCTACCTGGTCTGTCGCTCCGCACTCAGCTTCAGGTCTTCTCGGCCACGGTCATTCCCTCCCTTCTCTACGCTTGCGAAACGTGGACCCCCCTAATGGAACATCTTCGCCGGTTAGAAACATTTAGGCTGGCCTGCATACGATCCATCCTGGGTTTAACCAGACTGGATTGTGTGAGGAGCTCACAAATCCTTGAAAGATCTGGGCAAGGTCCCATCGGTGAGCTCCTCCGGCGGGCAAGGCTGCAATGGCTGGGTCATGTAGCCCGCATGCCCAGCCACCGCATGCCGAAACAGCTTTTGTTCGGCCGGATCGAGGGGGCTAAGCGGGCGCGGCACGGGCTAGAGAAGAGATGGAGTGATGTGGTACAGGAGGACGTGGAGCTGAGTGGACTTGCCGATGACTGGTACCAGCGGTGTCAAGATCGGCTTCTGTGGAGGAGGCTCGTGAAGGATGCTACTGGGCAGTTTTAGGTTGTCGCCCTGCAACAACATCGGAGGGCGGAGGAGCGACGCTCAGAACAACGAGCGGAGCACCGGGTGGCTAAAGCACAGCAGGTTGGCACAGTAGGGGGCACAGGTGGTGCATCAGCCAGTCATCTCAGTCAGTCGACCCTTGGCACCTGGGTCTGCCCCGTGACCTCCTGCCAGCGGGCGTTCGACACTTCACGTGGCCTCAGGGTGCACATGGCCTGGCACAAGCGTCGTGGTGACGTCACCGCCACTTAGTGGCGAATGGCGGTTGTTGTTGTTGTTCCTCGTTTAATTGGCTATGCCCCCATATCCTCCCCCCCTCCTCCTCCACCCACTAATGCGGTGGTGACACCACCACCATCACCACCATCACAACCACCACCACAACCACCATCACCATCACAACCACCACCATCACAACCACCACAACCACCACCACAACCACCACCATCACAACCACCACCATCACAACCACCACCATCACCACCACCACCATCACAACCACCACCACCATCACAACCACCACCACCATCACAACCACCACAACCATCACAACCACCACAACCACCACAACCACCTTAGCAGCAGCAGCCGCCACAACCTCCACAACCTCCACAACCTCCGCAACCGCCGCTACTTCGGCAACCGTCACAGCCGCCACAACCGGCACAGCCGCCACAACCGGCACAGCCGGCACAGCCGGCACAGCCGGCACAGCGTCGCCTGGCGTGTGTGTGGGCTGGGCGTCTCGCTGCCAGCTGTGCTCCACCGTGTTCACCAGCGCCCACATGGCAGAGGACCACTACAGCGGCAAGCGGCACCGGCGCAGGCTCAAGCAGAGGCGCTGCCTGCGGGAGCTGTCGCTGCGGAGAGACGTGCCACACGATTTCAGTGCGTGGTGGTGGGGGGGTGTGGTGGGTGGTGGGTGGTGGGTGGGGTGGGTGGGTGGGTGGGGTGGGGTGGATGAGTGGGTGGGTGGTGTGTGTCTGTGTGTGTGTCTGTGTGCCTCTGTGTGCGTCTGTGTGTGTGTGTGTCTGCGTGTGTGTGTCTGTGTGTGTGTCTGTGTGTGAGTGTGTGTGTCTCTGTGTCTGTGTGTGTCTGTGTGTGTCTGTGTGTGAGTGTGTGTGTATGTGTCTCTGTGTCTGTGTGTGTCTGTGTGTGTCTGTGTGTGAGTGTGTGTGTGTGTGTCTCTGTGTCTGTGTGTGTCTGTGTGTGTCTGTGTGTGTGTGTCTGCGTGTGTGTGTGTGTGTCTCTGTGTGTCTGTGTGTGTCTGTGTGTGTCTCTGTGTGTGTGTGTCTGTGTGTGTGTGTCTCTGTGTGTGTCTGCGTGTGTGTGTGTGTGTCTCTGTGTGTGTGTCTGTGTGTGTGTGTGTCTGTGTGTGTCTGCGTGTGTGTGTGTGTGTCTCTGTGTGTGTGTCTGTGTGTGTGTGTGTCTGTGTGTGTGTCTCTCTGTGTGTCTGTGTGTGTCTGTGTGTGTGTAGTGTGTGTGTGTCTGTGTGTGTGTGTGTACTGGTTAGCGCTACGCTCACGGCCAACACCGTCGGTGACGATTCTCAAAACCGGTCCCGGGCCTCCCCTAGGTCGACTCAGCCTCAAATGAGTAGCTGGTGTAGCGGTGTGTCGTAAACATGGCTACCACTGGGGAGACAAAGGCGGCCGGGCCTGGTGCTTGGCCACCCACCCCCTCGTGTACCACAGTGCCGGTAGCCTTCATAGGTAGCGCTGCTACTCGCTACTTACAGCACTTGCCCCTGTGACAGGCTACACGGGGGACCTTTGTCTTTGTGAGTCCACGTGATCTTTTTACTCACCGTGTGTCTCTTCCCCCCCCTCCACCCCCCCCCCTCCACCCCCCCCCACCCCCCCCCCGCCCCCCAGTGGAGACTGGGGAGTTCTCCTGCCGTGTGTGCAATGTTACCGTCAACTCTGCAGACCAATACCGGACCCACATTGTCGGGACCAAGCATCAGCAGGCGATGAGGTGAGCCTCCTCCTCCACCTCCTCCTACTCCACCTCCTCCTCCACCTCCTCCCCCTCCTCCACCTCCTCCCCCTCCTCCCCCCCCTCCTCCCCCTCCTCCTCCTCCCCCTCCTCCCCCTCCTCCCCCCCCTCCTCCCCATCCTCCACCTCCTCCCCGTCCTCCCCCCCCCTCCTCCCCCTCCTCCTACTCCTCCTCCTCCACCCCCTCCTCCTCCCCCTCCTCCTCCTCCTCCCCCTCCTCCCCCTCCTCCTCCACCTCCTCCACCTCCTCCTCCACCTCCTCCCCCTCCTCCCCCTCCTCCCCCCCCTCCTCCCCCTCCTCCTCCACCTCCACCCCCTCCTCCCCCCTCTCCTCCCCTCCTCCTCCTCCTCCCCCTCCTCCTACTACACATGGGAGGTACACAGGAGGGTACGTTGGTTCGATCCCAGACCCTGACGATGCCTGCTGCTGCTGCTGTATATGTGGAGTCTGCGTCTCTCTCTGTGGCTAAGAGATGTTGACTACCTCGCCTGGTATACAGGAGGTCGTGGGTTAGATTCCAGACCCTGACGATGCCTGCTGTTGCTGTATATGTTGGAGTCTGCGTCTCTCTTTCTCTCTGTGACTAAGAGATGTTGACTACCTCGCCTGGTCTACAGGAAGTCGTGGCTTCGATCCCAGACCCTGACGATGCCTGCTGCTGTATATGTGGAGTCTGCGTCTCTCTCTCTCTCTCTCTGTGTGGCTAAAAGATGTTGACTACCTCGCCTGGTCTACAGGAGGTCGTGGCTTCGATTACCCTGAGAGATGTTGACTACCTCGCCTGGACTACAGGAGGTCGTGGGTTAGATCCCAGACCCTGACGATGCCTGCTGCTGCTGCTGTATATGTGGAGTCTGCGTCTCTCTCTGTGGCTAAGAGATGTTGACTACCTCGCCTGGTATACAGGAGGTCGTGGGTTAGATTCCAGACCCTGCTGCTGCTGCTGCTGCGTCTCTCTCCCTCCCTGTGTTTGACCCGAGTTGAATTCCCTCTTATTGCCACTGACAACGACCGGCAGTGATGATGACCATCTCCCCTTACTCCTCCTCCTCCTCCTCCTCCTCCTCCTCCTCCTCCTCCTCCTCCTCCTCCTCCTCCTCCTCATCATCATCATTATTATTATTATTGTTAAACCAGATCCCTCTACCCCCTCTCTCTCCCTCCCCCCAACCAACCAAGTGAGCGCCGGGCGGCCGGAGGAGGAGGAGGAGGAGGGGGTGGAGGAGGAGGAGGTGGAGGAGGGGGAGGAGGAGGGGGTGAGGGCTGCCCCCCGGCATTGGACAATCGCAGGAGGAAGCACACCGCCTCGTACGGAGGGGACGAGGCGGTGGAGGAGGTGGAGGAGGAGGAAGAGGAGGCGGGGGGAGGAGGGGAAGATGAGGAGGAGGGAGGAGGAGGAGGTGGTGGTGGAGGAGGAGGAGGATGGTGCCAGCAGCAGGAGGAGGAGGAGAAGGGAGGAGGAGGAGGAGGAGGGACGGGGGGAGGAGGAGGAGGGCGGAGAGAGGAAACGCTGGCGACATCGCTCCAGATACACGTAGCTGGCGCACACACACACAGTACACACACACACAGTACACACACACAGTACACACACACACACACAGTACACACACACACAGACACACAGTATACACACACACAGTACACACAGTATACACACAGTACACACACACACAGTACACACAGTATACACACAGTATACACACACACAGTACACACAGTATACACACACACACAGTACACACAGTATACACACAGTATACACACACACAGTACACACACACACAGTACACACACACACAGTACACACACACACAGTACACACAGTATACACACAGTATACACACACACAGTACACACAGTATACACACAGTACACACACACACAGTACACACACACACAGTACACACACACACAGTACACACAGTATACACACAGTACACACACACACAGTACACACAGTATACACACAGTATACACACACACAGTACACACACACACAGTACACACACAGTACACACAGTATACACACAGTATACACACACACAGTACACACACACACAGTACACACACACACAGTACACACAGTATACACACACACAGTACATACACACACAGTACACACACACACAGTACACACAGTATACACACACACAGTACACACACACACAGTACACACACACACAGTACACACACACACACAGTACACACAGTATACACACACACACAGTACACACACACACAGTACACACAGTATACACACACACAGTACACACACACACAGTACACACACACACAGTACACACACACACACAGTACACACAGTATACACACAGTATACACACACACAGTACACACACACACAGTACACACACACACAGTACACACAGTATACACACAGTATACACACACACAGTACACACACACACAGTACACACACACACAGTACACACGGTATACACACACACAGTACACACACACAGTACACACACACACAGTACACACACACACAGACACACAGTACACACACACACACAGTACACACACACACACACAGTACACACACACACAGACACACACACAGTATACACACACACACACAGTACACACACACACAGTACACACACAGTACACACACACACAGACATACACAGTACACACACACACAGTACACACACAGTACACACACACACAGACACACAGTATACACACACACACACACAGTACACACACACACAGAGTACACACACACACAGTATACACACAGTACACACACACACACAGTACACACACAGTACACACACAGTACACACACAGACACACAGTACACACACAGTACACACACACACACGGACACACACACAGTACACACACAGTACACACACAGTACACACACAGACACACACACATAGTACACACACACAGTACACACACAGACACACACAATACACACACAGTACACAGTACACACAGACACACACACAGACACACACACACACAGACACACACACACACAGACACACACACAGACACACACACATAGTACACACACACAGTACACACACAGACACACACAATACACACACAGTACACACACAGTACACACACACAGACACACACACACAGACACACAGACACACACAGACACACAGACACACACACACACAGACACACACACAGTACACACACACAGACACACACAGACACACACAGACACACACACACAGACACACACAGTACACACATACACAGTGACACACACACAGACACAATACACACACACAGACAGTCACACACACACACAGACACACACACACAGACACACACACACAGACACACACACAGACACACACACACAGACACACATACACACACAGACACACAGACACACACAGACACACACAGACACACAGACACACAGTACACACACACACACAGTACACACACACACACAGACACACACACACAGTACACACATACACAGTGACACACACACAGACACACATACACACACAGACACACACACAGACACACACAGTACACACACACACAGACACACACACACAGACACACACACAGACACACACACAGTACACACATACACAGTGACACACGCACAGACACACATACACACACAGACACACACACAGTACACACACACACCGACACACACAACAACAACAACAACAACCGCCATTCGCCACTAAGTGGCGGTGACGTCACCACGACGCTTGTGCCAGGCTATGTGCACCCTGAGGCCACGTGAAGTGTCGAACGCCCGCTGGCAGGAGGTCACGGGGCAGACCCAGGTGCCACGGGTCGACTGACTGAGATGACTGAGATGACTGGCTGATGCACCACCTGTGCCCCCTACTGTGCCAACCTGCTGTGCTTTAGCCACCCGGCGCTCCGCTCGTTGTTCTGAGCGTCGCTCCTCCGCCCTCCGTTGTTGTTGGAGGGCGACTGCCTCCAACTGCCCAGTAGCATCCTTCACGAGCCTCCTCCACAGAGGCCGATCTTGACACTGCTGGTACCAGTCATCAGCAAGTCCACTCAGCTCCACGTCCTCCTGTACCACATCACTCCATCTCTTCTCTAGCCCGTGCCGCGCCCGCTTAGCCCGTTCAATCCGGCCAAACAAAAGCTGTTTCGGCATGCAGTGGCTGGGCATGCGGGCTACATGACCCAGCCATCGCAGCCTTGCCTGCCGGAGGAGCTCACCGATGGGACCCTGCCCAGATCTTTCAAGGATTTGTGAGCTCCTCACACAATCCAGTCTGGTTAAACCCAGGATGGATCGTAGGCAGGCCAGCCTAAATGTTTCTAACCGGCGAAGATGTTCCATTAGGGGGGTCCACGTTTCGCAAGCGTAGAGAAGGGAGGGAATGACCGTGGCCGAGAAGACCTGAAGCTTAGTGCGGAGCGACAGACCAGGTAGCTTCCACACAGCGTTACGCAACCGATGAAAAGATATTGCCGCTCGACTGATTCGGAGTGAGACCTCTGCTGTTAAACTGGAGCCAGTCATAAGCACACTGCCTAGGTATGGGAAACTCTCCACTCTCTCCACAACTGCCCCATCACGGATTGGGAGTTGTGGGGGTGGAGTGTCCGATGGTACAAAATACCCAGGCAGGTGCTTAGTTTTGGTGGGGCTGATGGTAAGGCCCCACCTCTTAGTGGCACGCTCCAGTCTCAGCAGCAGCGTCTCCAACTCCTCCTCTGACTGAGCAGCTATTACCAAATCATCAGCATACATAACGTGGTTGAGCAATAGGGAGCCATCCCTTGACCGCACCCGGGCATCGATTAGCCTCCCATTATATCTGTACCATATGGAGATTCCCCCGGTACAGCTATTGAAGGCTTCACGAACTACGTGGTCATAATAGATGTTAAATAATGTGAAAGCTAGAGGGCATCCCTGTCGCACCCCAAGGTGTACAGGGAATGGCTCTGACTCCCGGCCATGTAGTTTTACCCGGGCCCGCTCACCATCATGAAGGTCCTTAATGATCGTGAGCAGAGGGTCAGGTACTCCAAAAGCACGAAGAACGACCCAGAGCCCAGGCCTACTGATGGTATCATAGGCCTTGACCAGGTCAATAAAGCAGAGATGTAGGTCTTGTTGGAATTCCCTACACCTCTGCTGTAGCAGACGGACAGAAAATATGGCATCTGTGCAGGACCGCCCTTTCCTGAAACCGCATTGGGGCTCCGCAAGCCTCTCCTCAGCGTGCCTGGCAAGGCGATGCTGAATAATCCTTGCCAGGACCTTTCCCGGCACACTGAGGAGTGAGATGCCCCTGTAGTTGTTACAGTCTGTGCGGTCCCCCTTCTTAAAGAGGGGGACCACCAGGGCCTCCTTCCAATCCTGCGGAACCCGTCCAGCGGTCCAGACTGTTGTTATGATGTCATATAGGGCAGTCTGTGCACAAACGCCACCCTCCCTCAGCATTTCGCTTGGGAGATCATCTCTGCCCGCTGCCTTTCCTGGTCGCAGACTCCGGATCGCCTTCAGTACTTCCTCAACAGATGGCACCTCAGCCAGCCACTCACAGGGGGTGACTTCCTCCTCCAATATTTGAGGCACCGCAGCCTCAGCAGGGTCATCCTCACTTTGTGCCACGATGTTTTCCTGGCTGAGGGAATTTCCCTCCCCCAGGACCTCACAGAAATGCTCAGCAAATCTGCAAACCTGTTCCTGGGGGTCGGAGATTGGATCACCATTTTTTCCCCTAATGATGTTAATAGGTGTGGCGCTGCAGGTTACTTTTTTGATGGTGTTAAATAGAGATTTGTGATCACGGGCCACTGAGGCAGACTCCATCTCCTCAGCAACCTGCGACCACCACCCATCCTTGCAGCGCCTCACGGCTCTATGAACCTTCGAGCGAAGGCTGCGGTAAGCCTCCTCATTCGCTGACGTGGGATTCTGTAGCCGATGACAGTGGGCCTGTCGCTTTTTCTCAACCATCCTGAACACCTCCTCTGTCAGCCAGGGTCTCTGGGGGGGTCTGGACCGCGTACCCAACGCAGCCATTGCAGCTGCGTGAGTGACAGTCCTAAACCTCGCCCATTTACCCTCGACATCAGGAGGAGTCGGGGACGATGCCAATCCCAGCCGCAAGCGATGATGAAATTCTTGCTTGCAACTTTCATCAGATAACTGAGACCAGGCCACTTTAGGTTGGAATGGGGTCCTGGGTGTAC